AAAGCTTTCTAATAAAGTTTTGCGGGCAGAATATTCGCTTATTCGCGCAGCATACGTATTGTTTCCCTTACTGCGTAAGTGGTAGCGAGAAAGTAAAAAATAACATTGAACGTGAAAATTTCGTTTAGCGTATGCAGATGGTAATATTAACAATGACAACTATTTGATACAGTGACATTCTTATGTATGTTATATTTTGTTTTAATTCTCATCCAATCATGTGGACAAATTAAAACAACAAGTGTTCTCATTAAATTACATTGTCCCTCACGTGTGTATCTTGAAATGTTGTATGGCAAAAATATTTTATGGATACTGCAAACTTCGTACTATCAGGTGTGTGCGTGTTCTGTGATTTACGAACGTGCAATTACGATGACACACTGATCTTGCATCTAGCTCCCGATTGTGTGGCATGAGCACGCCTATTAAATTCAACTTACAGTTAATGCACTGATCCAATCTCGTGTAATGAAAGATAAATGAAGTGTTATCAGTCATTGCCTTCCAGATTCCAATGTCCGTAAGTTAAACATTATAGATCATAAGTTAATCATACTGACAACAGAAACAATTTATGTGAGAAAAATGTGTGTGTTAGTTTTATGAAGAAACTAATTTTGATTATAGAAATTTTAATGAACTATTAAAAAACTTATATGTACTTTATTATTTTGGACATGTTCAGTGTCCTATAAATAGTAACTCTTTAATTTCCCTTCAAACCCAATTCTGAGTCAAGCAAGCGAAACTAGTACATTTATTTAAACTCGAACGACAAAAAGGGAACATCCAGAAATCCTAAAACATATGTTTCGAAGCAAACACGAAATCCACTCGCAGTAAAACTCCTCCGTTCGAAAAGACGATTCTAAGCGGAACGCTCGCCAAGGGTTGAAAGTGTGAAGGGGACGGGGTGGGAGAGTGCGTGGGGGGTGGGAGAAGATGGAGCGGTGGGAGACAGCGAGGACTCTGCGGTTCACTAAGCCCCTACGCCACCGACTTACACATGCACCCTACACCCTCTTCTCCCATCCCAGGGCCGGCCTACTCATTTCTTGTTAAGGGCCAAGATAAAAGTGGGGCGTTATTTTTAATTTGTTGTCGGAGCTTATTTAAAGCAGCTTACGTAGTCGCGGGTCGCTGGGGGATTTGGCTGCGGTACCGCCGGCCCCGCTGCCCTGCCTTCCGGTTCTGCCAACTGTCCCGCGGCAGCCCCAGCGTAACGAGGCGAGAGTGTATGACGGCTTGTAGGGAAGTTTCTGGAGCGAAGGACGTAAAAATGACTTACATTTCGGAGAATAGGATTCGCGGAAACGAAAATACTACTGAGATTACTGCGAAGCGGGAAAACGAGATGAGATTACACCGACTAGAACGAGCACATTTGCGATCATATTTAAACAACGATGCTAAAAGAAACAGAGAACGGTATTACATATCAATATTTTTGGTATAAGTATTCCGAGTAAATATTAATTTAAAATCAATATTTATTATTTCACGAAAAGTCAACCGTGGACAAAACAAGTAATTTTAGTTCGGAAACTACGAGAACATTACTCAATATCATACGTCATATTCATATAATTATGAGTTCATCTAACCAAACTGCAGGAAGTATTAATTATTTCTTCTACAAATTGAATCAATTTCTTTTCTATTTTTTTATGATTAAGTACGAAAATGTTTCTTTAAAATCATATTTAGTACTAAAATATAATATAATAACATGAAATATCTTGAGTAAATGTCACAGAAAGAAAACAACAAGACTTAAAAGATCAACTTTTTGGCTTTCATTAAATCCTATCTCAGGACAGTAACACAAACAATTTACAGATTAGCGATTCAATTCAATCATATGACTATTATTATTAGAATATGGTATCTTAAAATTACTGATCACTTTATTGCAACATACTTCTTGTCTGGGAATTATCTTTCTCCACATCCTTGTACGTATATGTCACACAACTTTCACTATTTTTACAGAGCCATACATCAACCCCAGGACTCACAAAGCACAAGGCTGATATGTGTCGGCCATCACTTAGTATTAGATTTACTTTTCCCGTATACAAGTATGAAGTTGTTCCATACATCATTAAATTACCCACAAAAAAGAATTTCATTAACTAAGACCAAAAAACTAAAAAACGTTCACTCATGTGTTGCATGAAATTATTTATCATTGCACATTTTACTTTGTTTGCAACTCTTTTCCCTCACTACTCAAGTTAATTACTTAATACGTTATTATAGTGGTTAAAAATATATACAATACAATATTATTAGCATATGTGCATAAACATTTTAAATAATCTTCTGAATTGACATATCCAGTTCATTGTAATAATTTTATATTTTCTCGTTAGCTGATATTTTTTCTTTACTATACAAGATAATCACTAAATAATATACTAATAGTTGAAAATACATACTGTAAAAAATATTATTAAACATATCCATATATCTCAATAATTAATATCATTCTACTTTGATCACATATCAAGTTGTGATCACATATCAACCTATACAGCTTTTACATTAACAACTGTAGGATCTACTACACATATCTAGGACATTCCAATTTCTCGTTCCCTTTCACTAAGTCTTAATACATCCAGTATTTACTGCACCAATTACGTTACAATTTTGAATTAATTAAGGGTTATATATGTATTTCAAAAACAATATTGCACACATCAAAAAAAATGAAATTAAATAGTGCGAGTTTGTGTCATTGTACAGCAATACTTCATAGATTACTTTTTACTTTCCTGCACTTACTCCGAAAGACGAAAAACATGTAATCCTGCTCCGGAATACGTCAAATTTTCGGCGGGAAATTTTCTATTGCCGAGCTCTGGTAATGAACATGTGGATAAATTCTAGGGGTATATAGAGTAAATTACTGCTTCTAACACGTAGTTTAGACAGAACTCATATTTTGTTGGTCCTTGATACAGAAAAATCGACTGACACAAAACGTCTGTCTGTCAGTCTATATGTTTGTGGTCAGCGCTAGCGCTTGAAGGTTCAGTCGATTTCCTCTAAGATTGATATTCCCCGATCGATATAAAAAAACTCATGGCTTGAGGATATTCAACTGGATATTTTGAATTTTAGGGTACTTTACATGAAGTCTCAAAAACATTTTCAAACGTTTCTCAAAAATAGCCTCTAAATGTTTTGATTAATCTTTGTCTTCAGATAGCGAAAAGAACGACTAAGAGAAAGGTATTTACTAGACTGTCCGGGTAACGCCGCGTCCATGGCGAAGGTGCCGACGTCACCCGGACGCGGCGTCACCCGGACAGCCTAGTAAATACTGACTCCGGCCGCGGAAGCCTACGCTCTTCCTTAAGAGAATGAGGTAGGTATCATGTTCGTTTGGATACAAAATTTTTTGAAAAATACAAAAGTACAATTCTTTGGGCGTCTTCCTGCAATTACAATATTGGAGGCAGATATATATATCACTTAATGAAATCTTTCCTTTCAAGATAGGTCTTGAAATAAGCTCACATTCTAATTTTCGAAAATATGGGTAGTTTTCGTGTAGTTTTGCCGGATATACTGGCAATTTTAGTTTTTTAAATAATTTTTTAAAACCATTTTTTTCTAAAACATCGCACCAATTATTTTCTTTAATTTTACCCCCTCATAAATATCATGTCCAACAAATATATGGTTCTAGGGTAAATTTTGATGAATATGACGTATTTTCGAAATTTTCAAAAAGTTGACATTGCTCAATTTTAAAATTTAAGATTAGATTATTGTCTGAGACAATGTCTGTTGTAAAAGCAGCCCCTTAAGAAAAGGTCATGTACAATTTTTTGGCAAAAATAGTAGATTTGGCGTAATTTGTGGCTGAAATGTATTTAATTCCCAAAAAAATATTTTCTCAAAAATCGCTCCAATATATTTAGTTACATTTTCTTCTCGTAAGTAACAACAGACGATGAAAAATATGACACTTCACCCATTTTCGGCGAATACTTCGTATTTTCAAAAATTGCAAAAATTTTGGGTGGAGACAACTACATTTTAAGGGATGCGATTTTGAAGCTTACGCCGTCTCTATAGCGTAGTGGTATAGCTGACGGCGAGTTGAATCGGATGATCTGAGTTGAAGTCTCAGTGCAGAAAAAAAAAATTTGCTGGTTGAAAGCACTTTCGCGTGTTTATGTAGTAGTATAATATAGCGGAGTACTTAGAAATAATGTGAGTAGAAAAATAATGTATCAGCTGTTGTAGCAGCACTAATTTTTCGTTGGATTTGACATTACTTAAGCGAACGTATAGCCAATAACTATTATTGCAGCCGCATTGAGTGTCTGCATGCCAAGCGTACTTAAATTCGCGAATCTGGGGGAAACTAGTAAAAATTATGACGGAAGTTTTAAAATACTTTTCTTTTATTAATCAAATTTACTAGACATCCTGATAATATTATTTCTATAATTTGCAGAAATAATATTAAATCGACGAACAAATTATCTATCGTGATTATTTGTAGGTGCATCCAAAAGTATCTATTTTATTTGTGCAATTGATAATGGTCTCTGGTGCAATAAATATTGCATAATTAGCAAGCATAATTTGCATGCGAATGCTCTTTTATTGCCGATTTCTCCAAAACATTGTTCTTGCACTTATTCTCACGACATATTTCTGTAGAATGTCTCAACTAAAATGTTATGAATTCCTTTTTGACATTTTGAACTATGCGCAGACACCTTTTCAAGAAATTCGGAGTATTAGATTTCGAATGTATCATTTACATGACGAGTAAGAAACATGTGTGAAGTGAAAAACAGAATTAATAAAACATATCATTGGCAAATGAACTTTAAAATAGCTACAAGAATACAAAAATCAAACTTAACTGTAATCAGTGACAAAAAACGTGCATCTGTGAATTATCTCTTAGGTCAGAGAACGCAGCGTTGGTGGAACAGAACAAACACATTACGCCACTTCTCGCAGTTCGCGTTGACATTAGAACCGTTCAAGGTTAATGCTCTCTAGTCTTACTCGTATGCTTTCTCAGAAGAAACTTCATATGCCCATAGATCCAAGAAATATTGTGGGTGACCGCCGTATTCGAAAGTCTCAGTAAATTGTGGTAGCTTCTTTTCGGCCAGAAGATATCGGGTAAGTGATAAAAGTTGCGTGCTGTGACGGAAGATAGGTCACACGATTGGGGAGTTGGTGACGAAATGAATATTGAATACAACGATAACAGCTGTGCCATGAAGCAAGCGGCTTTATCGATGTCAGTCGAAGTTTCGTTTTTTTTTAGGTTTCCTTTCAGACAGTTTAAGTTGACTTACACGTCGATTTGCATCAGCGAAGGAAAACCTGTGCTGTGCTGGCTGGCCTTGCATTACACATCGCTTCGCCATAATAGGAGTATGTGAATGGGAGGGGAAGACCGGGTGCAACTCTGTGCATTACTGCATCGCGTGCATGCGGCCAACAGCTGAAGACAGCGATTCGTCAGTGACAATGAAGGAGGTGATTCGTCTTGAAGTGTAAGCTCACTGTATGGATAAGCAAGACAGTGTTTGCAGGTATGCTTTTACATTCTAAAGCAACATTACAAATTACTACATATTGAATGTGAACGGATTTGAGTTGCCAATTGTGAAGTGATTCACGTTAAAAAATATAAAAATATTTGCGACATTTAAATAAAACACCTTCGAAACAACGACTTTATTTTTATATAAAGTGTACCACGCTAGTTGAGAGGACGTCACTACAAATTTAATGTGCGTGTGCATTGTGGAAATTAATCCGAAAAAATGTTGTGAACAAATTCTATTAGTGAATCAAGACGGTATTAATTCGAGTGTAAATTAATTCGTATTTCATTCATTGATCTCACAAGCAAGATAAAAGCAATATATAAAAACGAATTGTTAGATTGTGGAAAACGGACTGACTTCAGTTAATATTGGAATGTGAATATAATATAAACATTTTAAAACTTCCATATATAGATATCATCTTTCTATACAACAAAACATTGAAATTAAATTCTAAATTTCATTGTTTTCTCAAACAGTATTTTTATTGCAATATTCTTACTGATTCTAAAAGGAAATTTGGTGATTGTACATTTCCATATATTCTTTATGATTTAACATTTTTATTATGTTTTGTTTATTATTTCCCTTAATACTTTACTGTTCAATTATAGTCTCAAATACAAACGCCACTTTAAAAAGTTGTGTTTTTGAAACTTGTTGAAATATTTTAACGTCTAATATTTATTTTATTTTCACAGATATTGTAGAGAAAAAATTGAAAGTATAGAAACATAAGTAAACCATCACTACACCATATTCACTTCAAGATCTCTACGAAAGGAATCCTCATTTTTCAACATTTTGCAAATTGTTCACATAAAGAAAATGATACGAACTTTATCTAGAATTCGAATTAATTCACCACGGAAAAGTGTTTTTACATTACAAAATACAGAAAGGTAAAGAAGCTGTTTACCGTATTCCTCTCATACTTTTGTAATATGAAACTCAAAAGAATAGCTCTTCATAAACATTGTAATTTAGAAAGTGTCCTGCAAATCACCCGCCAGTTGGAGAGTAAACAACTACTTTTCATGTATATTTACAAATAACTTTGAGCTGAACCCTATCATTGCTTACATAACAGATTAACACAAATTTTGAAGATTTAATCTGTGTTACATTACGCACTATTAACTATACGTATAAATTCAAAATCATTACTCTCTATTTTCCATTTCTGGCGACACGTTCAATTTGATCCAAAGTAGTCATCAGAATTATTGTTGTACTTAAAGATTCATAATTTTCATTTGATATGCATCTGGTTGAATTCATTATTTTCATTTTTTCTCAACGCTCTTTTAGGGCTTTTGCGACAGCGCCGGCGGCGACGGGTGCAAGTAACGAACAGGAAGCGCTGGAATCGTGGTCTGCGGCGCGACCTTACACAGACATTCCAGGTCCACGGCCTCTGCCGCTTGTCGGAAATGCACTACGTTTTCTTCCCGGAGGTCAGTAAATTAACGACTGAACGAATATTTTGCCTTCGGGCGCGTCTCCATCAACCATTAACGTGATAGAGTGCGTATTATCCAACTGCAAAATTTTGTAAGGATAAAGAAATTACTTTTTTTAAATTGATATAAAGATAGTGAAACAAATTTGTGGTTAAGTGTAGATTAAATATAGTGAAACAAATATTTGTGGTAACTGTGGTTGGTTGTAACAATCTTAGAATTTTGTAACATTTTTCCCTTGTTCGAAATAAATCAAGGCTGTCAGAGTTAATTCCAAGTATTGCTCCTGCTGTGTTCGGACACACAAAAAGAAGATTGGTTATTGTCACTTGTGCTCCACTCTTAGAACATGTCTCTGGGTGTTTTTTTTTAAATTATGTGACCAGGACTTAATTTGAAGTAACTGATCCCCAGTCTTGTGAGGATGACTTGCTTGTTTCTACTAATTTGAGTCTTGGGTAATGATGGTTCGTTTAGTTTTCTAACGAGATCGAGTCTTGATGGTTTTGCTTACCATAGTAAACCCCAAAATATTTGGCAATTATTGTGTTAAAGACACTGCTGTCATTGAGCCGGTATGCACCGGTTCCCGAGAACCGGTTCTTAAAATTATTGTAATTCGCAGGACCGGATGTTGAAATTTTGTGTTACGTGGAACCAGTTAAAATTTATTACAATTAATCGATTTGGTCATAATTATTTATAAATATTAAAACATTAGTATGCCGAAATCCTACCTACAGTCTTGAAAACCATACGACTGCTGACGCTCGCGTCACTTCAGGACGAAAAGAAATTTTGAAAATTCACAGAATTAACTAGCTTTGTTTCCACTTTTGTAACCTTGAGGCAAAATTGTTATGATCTTAAATTACCGTATTCACAAATCTCTAAAAGCACGTAGCATTAAAATGTTTATGCAGAGGCCATATTACCTAATTTAATTTCATTATAAACCATTTATTCCATTGAAATAAAAAAAAAATAGTTATTGGAAATCATGGGAAAGAAAAATGCAAGAGCGTTTTGGTAATTATGCGCGTAGTATGGCGCCGTAGCTGGCTTCTAACTTGGTGGCAGGGGACTGGCACGGGTTGGGGCCAGTGGAAATGCAGGAAGCGCTCTTCTCCCGCTTCGGGCCGCTGGTGCGCCTGTCCGGCATCCCGGGGCGCGGCGACATGCTCTTCCTCTTCGACCCCGAAGACGTCTGCAAGGTGAGCACCCAACGGGAGGAAGCCTAGCGAAGGACTATGGCTAACGTCTACACTTCGTCATTTTCATTGATTGATGATTCCGGGCGCATCAACGGCTAACGCCAGTAGTTTCGTAAGTATAGTACATGTTTTCCTCGGGAGGTGACTGTAATCTTCCTCAACTGGACGGGGAGTTCCGGTGCCGACCTACTGTCGGCTAGCAGGGTTTCCACAACTAGGTATCTCCCACAAGGAGATCCCAGCCGAGACAAGCTCTAAGTTTCTGACTGGAGTCCCCACCTGTGAATTGGTGTAGTGCATGTAAGTACATGTAAAAAATGGTTATGTCAAGGAAGAGGAGGGAAAGATCGCGGGCAGTCCCTGCCCTACCGATCAGAGCAGCTGGCCGCTAGAATGCATCTCCAAACAGCGACTGCATTCGACCTTGCTCTTAAAGTAGTACCGAAAATTCTGCCACCCTTCGGGATTCGAACCCTAGTACCTGACCTCCCGGTCAGAGCCATTCCAGTGACATCAGTTGATGCTCTGAGCATTTTGAATCTGTCGACGCACGGTAAAGTACGTTACAGCGAATACCCCCTTCCAGATCCGCGTCAACTCCCGGATGTCTATATGTGGGCTAAGAAGAAACTACGTAACAAACAAGTAACGTTATTTACTATTATTGTTTTGAATGATATCATCAACATAATTTTCATCGTTATCTTAACAGCTTTGTCATCATTATCATCATCAATCATCTCGCTTTCTTCTTCATCACAATTGCTTTGTTCATCACTTCCTTAATCATCATCAAGGATCTCTTCCTTGACATTTCTTTCTTGATCGTTATCAGTTCTTCTTCTTCTCCTCCTCCGCTTTCATGCTGTTATTTCTCCGTTGAACTTTTTGCTGGCTTCTTTACCTTTATTTCCTAGCCATGACACTCCATGGATTCGACTTGAATGCACGCGTACTTGTGATATTGACAGAGTTATTGAGATGGCGCCATAGGAGATGGTGCATGAAACGACCACCCGGTTTTAACGAAGGGAGTGTGGCCAGCATTCAGAACGGAAATGGCGCGAAGTCCGTGACCCATTGCTCTACCATCGCTCACGGTTTGAGAACATGGAACCGGTCAAAGCAGTTCTTACAGTTTAGCATTCATCTTTGTGTTTGTCATTTGAGCCTCGACAGAGGCAGCGATGGTCGCTTGACTGCTCTCGCCATGTCCTATTAGCTCTGGATACTTTTCATTCCAAAACATATACACTCTCTGAACACTTTTAATGATTCCATTATTTGAATTAAGGCTTCAATATGCGTGGAAGGAGATTTCAAATGGTACCACTCAATCGTGGCGGCGGTGACAAGGGTAGATTAGCTCACTGAAAAAGTTGCTGCTATTCAGAGTCACTAGAAACTCACTGCCGGCGTCATCTCGTGACTTAAACAAATATGCTTTACGAATAAGTTATACTTTCGTGTGGAGATAATTTTATAATCTGAAATGCATTGTGAAGGTCTTTCGCACCGAGGGACATATGCCCATCCGAAATGCAGGGCCTGAAGTATACTACTACCGCACCAAAGTACGACCGGAATATTTCGGGGAAGCAGGAGGTGCTCTCGTGGCGTAAGTATTAAGAACCTCATTGTTATGTTACTTGTAAATAATATTCAATCATTTGTATGCCTTGCAGCTGTGGAATTCATCACCGATTTTGCTCTTCATAAAATTGTCTCTTCACGAGCAAAAGTTTTACTCATGAATAGACATAGTTATTAACCAATTCTAAATTTGAAAACCATAAATTATTTCGTCGTTCTTGACCATATAAACATAGATGTTTATTTAATCAAACGATATGTTTTAAATTAATTAAACTATATTAAATTAAATTAACTATTAATTGAATTAACGATATGTAAGTTTTACACATGAATAGACATAGTTACTAACGAATTCTATAAATGCAAATCATCAATTATTTCGTCGTTCTTGGCAATATAAACAATTATATTTATTTTGCGTGAATAAAATACCAATCTACAACTGAGAATTTTATTTCATAGCCAATTAATCGTGTCAATTTATAAACGTCTCTTTCGTCTAAGTATATTTAAAACGATGAAAAATGCGTCCTAGATGAGCATATTTATATTATTTTTTTACGATTTGTTCATTATGTTTACATAGATAAAATGGATAAACTAATCTACAGAAAGAGCAAATTGGTTTTATTCGCACGACAGAATTCCTCCTATTTCCTTTAGCATCTGTCATCGCTTCAGGCCTAAATTTTTCAGTAGTAAATAAAATTTCATTTTATTAGTTTTATCACAAGTTACTATTAACTATCGCTGTTGAATCCTTTTCCAATTTTTTAAAAATTAAAACAAAACAACAAGTTATTGTTAATAATCACTGTCTACACGGCGGAAGTTTTATATTTCTTTTATAAATAAAGAAATTACACAGTTTCCTAGTCCCAGCTTTTTATTTTCTTTTCCATACCACTTTTACAAACACGGAGTTGAATCAACTGAAACATACTGTTCAGATCAAACTTTCGAATACTTCAATAACAATTTACGTCTTTAAATGCAGATTGTTTACAGACAGGGTGAGGAATGGTACAACTTCCGCACAAAAGTCAATAAGTTAATGCTTCAACCTAAATCAGTGCAACGCTACGTAGAACCTGTTGATGAAGTGGCGGAAGATTTTCTTGAAATGTAAGTTTAAACTCATTTGGACTATGTGATTCAATACTAATTAAATATATATCATTTGTGAAGTTACAACACAAATATTTTTAATAACTTCATGTTTTTATTCTGAAACACAACCACTAATACTATGCTTTATTTAATCCAAATAAATATTGAATACATACGCACGAAACAACTTTAAATCACAGTCTAAGATAGTAAATCACAATTGTGCTAGATAAGCATCTGTTGTTTAAGTCTTATTATGCATAACGCGCTTTGCAGAGTTACGATAATTGTATATATAACTGTATTCGATTCATTGATTCAAAATTCTAATGGTAATGTTTATTTTAGAATAAGTGAACTTCGAGACGAGAAAAAGGAGTTGCCTCATGATTTTCAAGACGAGCTTTTCAAATGGGGACTTGAAGGTAAATATAAAAGGAAGAGTAACTTTTATAGTGTGATTAAAATAATTGAAAGGTTAAAGAATCTATTACTGGCCACCTTACGATCACACTGCAATTTTTTCAACACCTTTAAGTAGGGAAGCGATTAATTAAACAGACGTTTTATATTCAAAACCTATAACTAAAACGCTGTTGATTCAAGTGCTAGGTTCTCACGAAGCCATTGAACCAATTGTACGACAATGCAGAAAATGTGAAACAAAATTTCATGATTTTTTCTTTAAATGAAAGCTAGTGGGCACTATAGGTGTTATAATGTGCTTTTGTTTTCTCTATAGTATTTACACTAATAACAATATTAATAACAATAACAATAATAATTATTATTATTTAATATTTTTATGATAATGTTATATTATAATGATAATGATAACCAAAATAATATAAATAATAATAATAATAATAATAATAATATTTCCAAATAACTACAATTAAAACATTTGATCATTTTTTTTGAGTTTCAATTTTATCGATCGAAGGCAATCGAAAGCATTCATTTTTGATGAACTGTTTTCTTAATTAAACATGTTTTTGAATGTCTGCATCTTCTTTAAATAAGATCGTGAACAAGTTTTCAAACAAATTTTCAAGGCGATCATATTTACTTATACTATATATCTATAGTATAGTATATATATATATATATATAGTATATATATATATATAGATATGATATGCAAGACGGTGATCGGTTTACTTTCCGGTAAACTCTGAGTATACTCGGCCGCACGCCAAGAAGAGTGCAATGCCGCGCTGGCCACAGGTGCCGTGGCGATCGCGCTGGACGTGCGTCTGGGCTGCCTGGCGGCCGACGCGCCGCGCGACTCTGAGGCGCAGCGCATGATCGCCGCCGCGCAGCGCATCTTCTCCTCCATGAGCACCTTCCAGCTCATGCCGCTGCTCTGGCGCGTGGGCCGTATCTCGCCGCTCTGGAGGCAGTACATCAGTGACTTCGACTTCATGATGGAGTGAGTACGGGCGACCTTTAGATGGATTAGTAAACGTCGTTTCAGTAGTCTTTAATTGTCGGGCCTTACTCGGGGGAGGCGGTGATTATCTTCCGCTGATGGGGAGATTTGACGCCGAACTACCAAAACCAGGTGTCTCCCACCAGGCATCGCCACAGCCGGGACAAGTTTTAAGTTTCGGACTACTCTCCCGATATGTGTGGTAAGTAGTGTAGTGGATGTGTAAGTAAGGGGTGAGGATTCGACAAGGAAGAGGAAGGAAAGGTCGCGCGAGGTCCGTCACCCGTTTGTTATCGAAGTGCCCTGGCATGTGCCTGGTGTTGACCGGAGAAATCACGCAAAACTACAGATCAGAGCAGTCGACCCTTAGAATCCAGCTGCACACAGCGTCTGAATACGGCTTAGTTATGTAAGTAGTATCACAAATCCTGCCACCGTCGGGACTCGAACCATAGGATCAGATGCACTACAGTAACATCAATAGATGCTGTGAGGCACCGAAGCCGATGGTTCCCTTCATGATGTATACACAAGATGGGAGTAACGTCCCACATGTAGTAGCAGTCCTGTCCGTAAGCACTTTCGGTTTGTACGACGCGTTACGTTACTTGCAGCCAATCAATGAAATAAAACATCATGCTTGCTCTACTTAGCTCTGTTACATTCAAAATGCAATTCTGCAGGTTTTCACTGATAGGGTGGAGGGCGGGGTTTTCTAAGGGATGTAAATTCTAAGTGTGCAATATCATGCTTGTAACATGCATATGATCATTTACTAAATGTCTGGTAATCTCCCATTATTACTCAGTCACCAAGCAACGCAAGTAACGACCGAACATAATCGAGATCGTTATTGTGTCTGGCTGTGGTGGCAAACATGGGAAACAAAAATAATACAGTTTGAGGGCAAATTCAATGGATATAATTGACAAATTCAAAATGGCTAACCATTCAATCGCTGTCAGCTGTCAGACAATCAAATTTTCTAGTGCCTGAGAAAATAGAGCTATTTTTTGTTAAAAATCTTTGGCTGCATATGAACTTCTTGTATATGTAGATGAAATGTACATGGTTTGGTTTAAAGATGAAATATTGAACAGGTTGCATAATAAAAATAAATCTCTCGCATCATGGTGTAAGACAGGTTTAAAGAAATTTGAACTTCTACAATTTTCTAAATTACAGAGGTTTTAATAAAAATTGGATCAATGCCATATTTAAAAGCGTACATTGCTCTGTTCCAACAACAAAACATTATGAAAATTTTGGAGCACTTGCGAACATTTAAATAAGTCATCCGGACTCCATTCCCTACAATTCAAAGATTCATTACAAATTTGCAGAACCTTGAACCTTGATCTATTGGGTATTCTCACTTCGGGGAGAGATGTTTTTCAACGGTTGCGGCACTGATGTTGGCAATAAACAGATGATCATGGGGACATATATTTGATCATGGGGACGAAACAAAGAGAAAAACACAGACAGCATATTGGTGCCATAAACACCTATAATTAGTGTTTTCGCCAAAATCTGGACATTGGTGTTTTGCAGCATAACATAACGTTTTATACACAAAGAGAGTAGATACATTTAGAACAAGAGCACATTGGGCAGGAAATTTTTTTGAAATACATAATGTTGAGTGACCTGCAATGGAATGAATTATTTCAGAAACAATGTGTCAGTGAATAGTAATTTTTCATTTGGGAAAAAACCTATGTCACGAACAGAGTACGATTATTTGAATGTACTGTTGCAAACACAATTCCTAATCGATTGACTTATGCTAGATCTACCTCAAAAGATAAAGATATTATACATAGTATGAGGCTGCACTGTAACAAAAAGATACGACATTCGTTCTTCCTAAAACAAATCGTTCAATTTTAAATAGACGGTTTTTGCGCTGTACTTTTCGGTAAAAGTCGAAATGTTGTGTGCCATCCAACTGTATTATTCGACAGTAAACATCTCTTACGCTGGACTTACTGTGAGTCATAAAATGTGTGCCATCCAACGTATTTGTCTCTTGTATAGGACGTTTTTGTGACCTGCAATTGTAAGAAAAAAGCCCTTCGCAGGACTTTTTGTGATACTTCAAATCTTGTATGACCTCCATTTGACTGAATTCTCCTATAATGAAATTTAAAATGTTGTGTGCCAGCCAAAAGTGAGTGGGTCCCTTTGTGCAGGACCGCGTGGAAGTACACGCGCAGAACGTTGGCCAACCTGGAAGCGCAGGGGGCGGAGGACGGGGATCGCGAGCCAAGTGTGTTGGTACGTCTGCTGAAGGAGGAATCGCCCACCGTGGCTGCCGTTCTCGCCTCTGACATCCTCACCGGCGGTGCGGAGACGGTCAGTGAGAAAGTCTTCAAACGTTTTGGTATTAAAATGATGGATTCATTACGTGTAACCTAGACTGCATGAATTTGGTATTTTCTAAATACACGTGCCTTTACGTATCGTCACGTGTCGTCAGATCTATGGAGAAAAAACATTTCTCTATCTATGGAAACATTGTGTTTCGCTCAAGGCGTGTTAAAATAGTAGTTTATGCAATTAGTTTATAATGTTAAGCTTTAATTCATGAGTACATGTTTTGAAAACGAGCGACTTCAGACGCGAGTTTTCAAATTTGTACGATTGTAATAAAGCAACATTATAAAAGACTTGCATACTATATTTCTTTAAATAACAGCATTATACATTTATACGAAAATCAAACTTAATTTTGCGAAACAACTTCCCTGCGACGACTTGGGTATTTGACATCGTGCGAGTAAACGATGGTCGGTTGTTCCGTTAAGCTCTACCTCTCCCCGATTCTCTCGCTACGATTGGCTGAATATGTGCTGACGCAATCATTCCTGACATAAAATCTAATACGTCATTATTTGTGCCGTAAAATCCCCGATTATGAACGATTTCTTGCAACAGAAAAGGTTCTTTTATAATGCTCGAATATAAAAAAAAGTTAATGCAAATTGAGAACGAAGTGATTCACGCACAGGCCTAGTTTCTCACGAGAACGCGACTCGTGCGTGAATCACTTGTTTTGCAACATAGTATACAGGTGTCCGCGGAGGAAACAAATAAGCTCTTAAGACAATTTTAAGCACATTTTTTCAAATAAACTACGTGAATATTCAGAATGATTGAGCCGTAATAAGAACTCAACAGCTAGTTTGAAAAAAATGACATTTCTCACTGGAGAGCTTGTATTGATCTTTAACTTTATTTCAAATCTTACACTAAGAAATGCATACTGTCGGTGCACAGGAATCTTGGCATATCTAAAAAACAGTCATTTTGTAGGGGAATATTTTTTTTAATAAAAATAATTTTTATTTTTTGAATCAATGTTTTTAACATATTGCAAGTCGTATTTTTCTTTACTAATACATTTGTAAATGTTATGAAAATGTTGCATAATTTTAATTAGAATTCATTGGTGGAATTTAAATTTGGAAAACAAGTTTTCTAATGTAAATCGATTTATTAAATCCATTTTTTTCAATATTCTAAATAATAGAAAATGGGAACTTTAAAAAGATGAAAATATTTTAATACATTTGCAATATTTTAAATCTTTATTCTGAGAAGGGAGATTGTTAAGGTATGGAAATGCGTTCTATAACATTCTCCGGAAGAGCTGAAAATGTTTATGTCGATACGCCTAGTACTAAACCGCATTCAATGATTCTGGCATCTGAAAATGGAACTATTACGCTGTTAAAATCTTATTTCCAACACCAAGTAATTCAAGAAAGATATTATGTTGTACCTGTCTCGGGGTCATTTTTGCGTTTTCTCAGAATCTACACGTGCGTGCGTACATCCACTGCTTTCCCGCGGAAACGTGTGCTCACGGAGCAAAGTATTTACGTTTCCGCACGGAATTCCGATGAAGCACCGAGCGTCAATAACCACTAGTAACGTCGAGGTAAGCGAAAACGTCTTCCGCTCCGTGTACGACGCCATCCGGCTCCGTAGGTCAGCCTTGCTGATTTAACAATACGTGCCAAAGCATGCGCGGCTTCATCGGACTCGGCTGTTCTTCGGAGAAATTGTCTACCGCGTCCACCTGGACAACCCTGCTAGCAAGCTGTGAAGTAGCTTGAAAAAATTTTCTTAGATCGTTTCCCTTTCTGCAATGAGGTACGAGGGTTTAAGAAGAAGAATTACTCTACCTTATGCGCGGTATGCCTAAAATGCATTTTCTTAGCTCGTAATTTATACCCAGATGAGTTTAAAATTGTTTTTTAGGTTAGTTGTCAAATTTGATTGAATTGCGGCGCTTATGTGGTAACAGAGGTTGTGGCGTAATTGTTAACGTACACGTTTACTTCTGGAATCCGATTCGATCTTTGGCCAAATCTCTGAGAACTTTCTGGTACGAGGCTTCTCCGGGTTAATTCGTCTTCCGTTACTCTCATCCTACCACGCAACAATCGCCATTAACATTCTAATCTCAGGTGATCATCTCCCATTAATGTCAAAAGCCTTGAAAAGTGAAGGACATTTTAAGTCATATAAATAAATAAATAAATCAGGAAATAAAACAATCAATCTGATTTTCGTACTCACGTATAATATTGTGTTCTTGAGTGTCGAGAAACTTACCTGAAACAAAATATACATATACTTATAACATAGTAAACAAAATAATAGGAACATTCAACTATTACCAGGACTTATTAAACCAATAATATGAATATTTCATGCTTATAAATGAAAAGAAAATTTCAAACGATAAACTGCGTTAACGCTAATTGCAACAATATATAAATCTTTTGCTTCAGATAATTTTCTTTTTCTGCTTTAACTTTTCCATGAGAAAATCTCCGCACTCACTAACCAACTCTGTGACGGCGAGTGCACCCGGGTTAACCGGTTTCTCTTGACTCCCGATTCCACACGTGGCCCCACACGTGACGACGTGGCACTGACGACGTAGGAATCGCCGAGAAATCAGAGAAAATCGAGAATTTATAAGTTGGACTAGAGTGCGAATCCTGGGGGGGAGCAAAACTGCATTTTATGCGAATTATCTAAGTTACTCGGGCCAAACCGCGTCTCTGTCGTGATGGCTGTATTTCCGGCCAACATCTTGTGGCCTTCTTCAGGGCTATACCGTTGTATAACATTCCGGCTAGCCTGCAAACTCCGGCTGAAGGAGCCAACGCAATCATGCATTTATTGTGGCTTACCCCTCAGAAACCTCCTCACATACCCCACTAATTTTTCCGAACCCCAGAGTCTGGAGTTTATTCTTTCCGCGCAGACGGCGAGGTCGATGGCGACGACGCTGACGAACCTGGCGCGTTTCCCGCGCGAGCAGAGCGCTCTGGCGGAGGAGCTGCGCCGCGAGCTGCCTGGCGCGCGGCCGCGCATCACGTCGCAGAGCCTGGCGCGCCTCCCGCGCCTGCGCGCCTTCCTCAGGGAGTCCTTGAGGTCAGTGAACCCCTCCCCCCCCACACACACATACATAACAAGGTTTAGGGAAGGAACGTGGAAAATGTAGAGCGTGTGCTGATCTTTGTAATATCTGAAAATCTTTATAATAAACTAGTGGACCTGTCAATGACCTACAAGAAGAACTACAAATACGTCGCTGGGAAGGACACTTAGCCCGACTTCACCAAGAAAGATGGGCATAATATGCAACTATATGGTATCCAAGAATAGGGTGGGGGAATCAAGGCAGACAAAGACTGAGGATGGGCAGACGAATTCAAGAAAGAACAGGCAACACCTGGAGACGTGTACCTCAAGACAGACCCACTTGGAAGTACCTCGAATCGCAGAGGGCCCAAACCACTACTGTGAACGCGCCCCTACGTTCGAAGACGTGATCCAGAAAGGCAACAACTAACGAAAGGTGAAGTACGAACTTGGTAAGGCGGCAGTCAAAAGAAGCGTGAAAGTAGTGTGGAAAGAATTTACCCGTAAGACTATAGATCAGAGAGAGACTAAATTGAAATCGTAAAACAAACTCAGAGGTACAGAGTGATTAACATGTCTAAAACTAATATTGAGAAAAATACAGTCCAGTACAAGTGAGTTTATCGCCAGTGATAAGAAAGTACAGAATATATTAAAAGGGTTAAGTAAGTTAGAAAGAGTAAGAAATGAAAAGTGATAGGAAGTGTACAGTGTTTAGAAAGTTTAGAATAGAAAGGGACAGAATAACTGAAAGTGACTAGTGAATAGAATAAACCATACTACAATAATTGTAATGATTAGTAATAAGCCAACCACCCACTCTGCATTTAGAAGACCTTTGCCATTAATGGGATTAACCCAGGCTAATAGTAATAATAATTCAATAATAACTCTTCATTCGCTACATGTCACGTGGTTGTTAATCATAGTTTACGCAACACACTTCAAAACATTTATTAGGTGAAAAAATTTCTAGCGAGTCTTTGTTCTACGTCCTAGTTCGGACAGGGTTGTCAAATATCATGTTGTTAAAACGTTCGTCCTCGAATTTGGGCATGCATTTGTGAAATGTTTGGAGTAATTTAATTTCTTTCGGTTATGTTAAGTAATAAATCTGCATATTTCACAATCCGCAGGGGCAGAATATTCAGCGAAGATGCGCTTAATACTTGAGCGTGCGGGCATAGAGCTAACTGCTTCAGGGCGCTAGCCAGAATAAACCCCGTGAAATCATCTTAAATGCGCGCCTGTGCGACAGTTATACGCACATCCCATTGTACTATGCTCATATTCTCCGGCAAGTGTAACAAAAATTTGAAAAATATTTTATCGCAATAGAATAAATGGAACGGCAAGGATATAAAATACGAACCAACATTGATTTTTATAAAATAAGAGTTTTAAAAAAACTTCTTGATGGGGCGCTCAGCTGCCACAAGACGTTAAAGGAAAGTAATACAAAGTGAATTTAGTGTTCGATGTGGTGTGTACGTTTTTGCTTCAATTGTGATGAATAAATCACTGATGATTACAATCCCTGAGACATGTTAATTATTCAGGTAATACCATTACTAACTAGATCAAATCCACTCATTAAATGAGCGATGAGAGATTGGAAAGTAATTGTAGCTACTTGTACGCGCTTCGATCACTGTAAGCTCCCACTAACTTGATTTTTCGTACTTGGCGAGGAAAAAACGAAAACTTTCGATGGATTCATTGCAATTCATACAAAACAAATTCATGTAATGGGAACATGACGGCAGATAAGCGTTCATTTTGTTAATATAAACACATTATTAATATTCAGAACTACTATTAATTCTACAAAACGTGTTATTAGAAGCCAGTGATAAAATGTAAAACAATATTTCTCTAAACTACAAATCACGAATGCTGATTGAGTAGAAAGCTTAAAAACCTTCTAAACAAAAACTGCTTAAGGAGTATGAACTTGCTTATTTCAGTTCAAAAACATTAAGCATTTAAACAATAGTTCTTTCCTTTACTATATTACGAAATCCATTTGAAAGATCTGATAACGTAATTTTATTTTTTATGTTATTTTGTTTCATTCTTGTAAATAATATTAGTATGATCACCAATAAAAACTGATCTTCATTTCTAATTAAAAAGGGCATAATGGTTTTATATCGAAAGGAGGAGACGGCCTATACTGAACCTTGTGGTACCCCATGACTAAATGGCAATGCATCAAAAATATATATATTTATCGTGTGCATAAATTTAATTGTGAACAGGCGCGAAGTGGCCGCAGTTCTACAGTTCGAACCTAACATCAACGTCCTTTGCGACTCCGGTTCGTCTTAATATAATAGTGATCGTGATAATATCATGAAAGATAAAAAGAAATAGCATGAAAAATACTCTAAAAATATATGTATTGATCTGGTTTTAGAGCAAATCACTCTGACAGATAGCGCGTTAAATGGAGAACCATCTGGATCCACTTCAGATAAGCGAACAGGCCCAAAGTTGTTGCTACCAATGATCTCGTGGCGATTCTTGTGAGACTTACGGACGATAGAGCGGGTTCAACTGATAATGCCAGCTCCGGGGCCGTGACCTTCAGAAAATAACCAGAAGGTTGCGAACAAAAAAGAACGTTGCAAGAGATAAAACAATGCTTTCTTTTAATGTCTCCCAGTATTATCGTTAAATTAGCCCAGACGAGCACTTCAAAGAGAGCGAGTAAAAACAATGGCTTTTCTATGACCTTGAAACATTAAACGTAAGTTTTATTATTGATTGCTGTCTCATGTGGCTGCTATTATCGGCATTAAATGAGTTTAAATACTAGCGTATACTCAGTTCTGTATATTTAGCAATCAAAAGATTTTGCTAGTTATGTGCACTAAACATTTTGTAAACTGGAATTTATATTGTATTCTTGTTTGTTATTATTTCAATGCTTACTAATTTTATCCAATTTACTAATCAGGAAGTAATATCGGGAGAGAAATTTACTAAAGACATAATCACCTTCACTTCGAAATTTAGGATTATTTATTTAAATATGGAGGAGACCTATGAAGATAGATACGTGTGAAAAGATAGATACATAGATACGAGTAAAAAGATAGATAACTAGATAGATAGATAGATAGATAGATAGATAGATAGATAGATAGATATATGGATATTTGTTCTACCTAGGAGATACATATAGAAAAATTTTCGCAGTTGGTTTTGAGTTAACGTTTGTGAGAGAGAATGAACTCAGTGACTTTGATTAGAGAAATATTATAAAACTATGCATATTTTCTCGATGTAAGGACTTAACATTTGTTTCTTGCAAAAAGTTTGATTTATTTCTACGTTTCAACAAATATTTGAATACAAATTCTTGGGAACATAAATGTTTTCACCAAAAGAATTTACTTTATTATTCTCCACCATAAATGACGTCTATTATTGCTCATAGTTCTTCAATTTCTCTGGTAACAATTGGAAAGTTGTTTAATTTGCTACTTCAAAGTTTCACATACGAACATACTTCATTTTCACTGCCTCTGCTTTCGAGATGTATTTTCTAATAAATCAGCAGTGCGGTATGTAATGAAAAAAATGAGCAATGTGTATATATAATTGCAAAATCATTCACTTTTTTTCCCGCGATACAAAAGAAGCGCAAATTGGAAATAGAATGTAATTCTGTCGGTGGATTCAAAGAATTCTAGGAACGGGATACTTCGAAAGGCATTGGATTGCAAATTGGAATACAGGGAACGTGCAATCGATGTCATTCGTCAACAAAATATTCAGAAATACAATTATTATTAAATGGTCATAGACAAATATTATTCTTTCTGCAATAATTAAGCACGAAATATAAACCAAATGTAATACGTACTTTGAGAATAGCTGAATTCGATTTTTACACAGTTTTGCATGAAATATGATGTTAATTTGCCCTGAGGGGTGTGTGCTAATGTTGGAAGCCAAGTTCAAGCATTGTAGTGTCATAAAAACTGAAAAATAACCGCACTTACTACTATGCTGCGAACGCTACCAAACACGCTCGTCACATAAGATACACCTTCAGAGCAATCTTGGGAATTTGGTGTCGCTGGATGGGCCATATATACTGCAGACGCAGATCATTACCTTTGATCACGCATATGGTGCCAGAGAACCCTCATTTAATGACGCTTTACGAAGTAGTCTAGTTAGTGAACGTTTTACCACAACGTAATGCAGGCGTTCTCGAGCGTTCTCCGAAGTAATATGAAAGTCAAAAGATCAGCTGAAAGTTCCTAAGCCTGTTCAAATATCGTACACAGGCAATATTCAATGATAAAGGCGCCTTTCATACACGAGACAATTGCGTAACTCGTTCAAGATTCATCCGAAAGATACATCAGTGGGGTGCAGAGAAAACACGTCATTCATTGCAAAGTGCATGCCATCTTCGCCAAGAACAAACCATCCCAAAATGTATGCCAAACTCCAAGCGTATAAACGAACCCTTAAGATTTAAATCCTTACTGTCAAACAAAGTTTTATAATAATTTGGGGTTCGGGAGAAAAAAGGCTTTTGAGGCACAATCAAGAGAACATTTTCGGCACCAGAAGTTTGAATGTTTTACATATAATAATAACTGCAACCGTAAAACCAACTATAATTCGTAAATTCATCTACTCAATATTGCACTTCATGAATAATAGAAGGTAGTATCTACAAAGTATATCTCCATTGTAACACAAAAGTAATAATTTTTAAGTCTACCATGTTTTAAATGTGCTTCGTAAATCACTTTATCTAACACCATGTGTTGATGACTAATATTTCTTCTTTGAGAAGACATTACATAAGATCAATTTTTAAAAAATCGTAATTAGGATGAATGTTTTTTTCTTTGTGAGTAATATTGTAAAAATAGTATATTTCATGTGATTGAAATACCACCATGTACTTTTTGGGTAAGTACTCGCTAAGAGGGAATTCAAATAATTTTCAAAGGTGTATTTTATATTCTTTCGCAGGTTAACCCCAACAGTAGTAGCAGTTCCTCGTACTACTTCACAAAACTTGGTTCTTTCTGGTTATCAAGTTCCTAAGGGAGTGAGTATATGAATATGATTGTATTTTTAAAAAAGCAATTATACAAATAGCATGATTGTCGCGTTGGATTTTGTGATGTTGACAAAGTTCACCATTAGCAAGTTTCAACACTCACAAAATACAAAGTAGCACATTTATTTTCAAATTAATTTATACATACGCTAAATTAAGTAATTATTGAAATTTATATCTCTTTGGTTCTCACTTTGTTTTATATATACCCATAATTTTGTACTCCATAATTTTACGTCATTAGACTGATGGTGGTTTAGAGGATATTGTAAAAATCATCTAGCAATTCATTCACGTAGACGTTCAAAACAGTAATTACCCAAATCGTAAACTACACATTTTAAAATTTGATTATGAGTAGGATACATAACGCAATTTTTGTTCAACTGAATGTCTTCAAATTTTATAAATGATATTTACACACAAATGCATACTGTTTTTTTTAAATTGTTGCTTCACCTTACACGCAATGCATCTCCACGCCCCTTCGGGAGCGTTTAGCGCTTCGCACTTTTGAAGAAATCCTCCATTAACTATTACGCGGAAGTAATCCTTCATGGTCCGTCACGTCTCGTCTCAGTCAGTTGTCAACAGGACCGCCAGATAGCATCTCCGCTTGCGCGTCTCTTACTCGCTGCGTCACTACATAGCAGCCAGAATTGAGAAGAAATAGGAAAGGGTAGGGTTCAGGACACTTCACAGGGGTTCGAGTGATCCATGCATACTCGTTTGGTGGTAACAATTTTCACATGAGGTTCTTCAGGGATTCTACGGGAATCGAACCCGGGACCAAAGTGGTGAATGGCAGGCGACTTGGTCACTGAGCCACAAGAGATCTGATTATAAGCGTTTCCCATTATAACACACGTGAAACGCGCTGCTTGCAGACGGAGATCTTGGCTTGCCAAATGGTGATGAGTCGTCAGGACAGCAACGTGCCCCGCGCCAGGGAGTTCCTGCCCGAGCGCTGGCTGAAGGGCGAGAGCCACGAGTCCAAGGGCCACCCCTTCGCCTCGCTGCCCTTCGGCTACGGCCCTCGTATGTGCATCGGGCGGCGCTTCGCCGAGCTCGAGCTGCAAGTGCTCACGGCCAAGGTGAGGGCGAACGCGCTCTGGGAGGCGACCCGGGGGGGACACGCGCCAACTAAGACGCTCGTTTCTAAGTCGTACGCTCCCGCGGTCGGAGTCTCGATCTTGGCTGACCGGGTGACGCCTTGCCATCACACCTGACGCAGACCACGACAAGATGGCCGAAACGTCGGCACCGCAGCCTTCGACGTGGCGCCACCCGGTCAGCCAAGCTCATTAATATGGTCATTTGTTCCGTACGTGTAGTGCCGAAATGTGTCGGTGTTCCTCACACTCAAGATCGTGAGATCCAGCGCCAACCGATACGTTGAGTTTATGCTGTATTATTATTTGCGGTTATTTAAATCTTGCTGATGTTATTCAATTTCATTAGCAGAAAACGTATGTCAGGGGAGATTCACTAATGACAAAATCACTTTGACTTCGAAGTTAAGGATTACTTATTGGTCTGAATACGGAATGGGCTTTGATATCTCTCTCTCTCTCTCTCTTATATATATATATATATATAGAAGAGCAAGACATAGAGAGATAGAGATAGATGTGGAATAGAGAGATATAGAGAGAGATAGAGACAGATATGATTCTACCTTGGAGAAGCAGATATGGAAAAATGTTAGCATTTTTTCGAGTTAACATTTGGGAGCGAGCATGAACTGAATGATTACAGGGTTTCCTCTGCCTGTATCTCTTCCCTCGGGGCATTGTCACAGCCGGGACAAGCTCTTAGTTCCCGACTGGTCTTTTGGTCTCACTGGTACTGTAATGTCCGTTTGGGTAAGTGTATGTGAGTGAGTGGTGACACGGGAATAAGAATGAAGAAAGGTTGTACGCGCTTCGTCGCTCGATTTTTAGAATAATCGTTCTGTATTCACCTTCTATTGATCGGAGATAATACGGAAAACTACCTGTTATAGCATTCAACCGCTAGGACTCTCCTTCACACATTGAATTCGAATGATGTAGCAAGTTTAGTACATCGGGACTAGAACCCAAGGTCATCCCGGTCAACAACCCTGCAGAAACAACGACATTGCCACTGAGCTATCACAGCCTTTAACACGGTCTGAGTGTATTCCTGTTCTGCTGAATTCGCGTTCCAATGAATACGGCCGTTAATGAGCGAATATTTCAAACATGACTGCACCACGTGCAAGTACAGGACAGAAGGACCGAACTGCCAAGTGGGTAGAACAAAATTAAACGAACTTCAACTATTCGCACGAATGAAAATTGAGTAGTCATTTGACATGCGCGTAGACAAACCTGATTTAAAATTTCATAAACAAAAAGCTGTGTGTAGGACTTAATCACACTAATCAACTCTCCCAAAGCATGCCAGATCATTTCAACATAATTAATAGTTGAAATGGATGTCAAGAGTTTCTGCCTAATATGAAGCTAGCACAAAACGAATGAGATGTTTCTTGTAAAAACATTTCTCATGCAACATCATACATCTCGTAGTAACCTTAGACCTCAGTAATAAGTTTTAACCGGTTCATTTACATTAAGTTGAATTTAGTTTGGCCCCCGCCGTTCGGCAGAAGCAGTCAGCAGTTTACTTCCATCATTTTTATTTGTCCGAAGAATTTACTGATCTAGGGGTACTCGTATAAGTATTTTCTGCCGATTTTGATTATACTTCGGTGGAAGATTTAGCAGTTAAACTGAGAGACCAGTTGCTCCAATTCTTTCAACCAGGGAGTCGGAGAAGGTCTTTCAACAACCAACCACGAACGCCAGCGATCCATTCTTCCCAATCTTGTCGTCTAAACCATCAGCAGGCATCGGATATGGCATGGTTCATCATCCTCACCTTGCTTGTTTTCCGATATCGCAACACTTTGGCAGTTTTGGGAAAACGGTAATGTTAGGTCCAACACTGGAATGGACAGTAGAGATTGACATTAGAAAGAACGATAGCGCGAGAGAACAAGCGAGTTAGCAAGTGAGCGAGAGAAAGAAAGAGAGAGAGAGAGGGAGAGAGAGAGAGAGAGAGAGAGAGAGAGAGAGAGAGAGAGAGCAAGAGAAAGTAATTCATGGATCATTTGGTATTCCCGGATGTGTCAACTGCTAAGATCATTAGTTCCTAAAGTGTTGTGCATGTTTTTTATATCATGTGAGTCAGTGGCGATCTTCTTCATGGTGGATGGTGAGATTTGGCCAATACGTCGACTATACGTCGACTCGAGAGATTTCCCTCCAATTAGATATCTCCCACCCTCAAAGATCCATCCCGGCCGTAACAAGCTTTAAGTTCCTGACAATTCTCCCGACATGTGTGGTAATGTATGGTAAGTAAAGAGCGAGGATAGGGCAAGCGAGTGGAAGGAAAGATCCCGCGCGGTTCGTGGCTCGTTTGTTACGGTACGAGTACTACTCCGGCGTACGCGTGGTGTTGATCGGAGAAACCACGGAAAATACCGTTCAGAGAAGCCGCCGCCAGGGAGTGGCTGAACTCGACCTACCTACCTAGAATGTGTCGAAATCCTACCATCGTCGGACTCGAACCTAGGACCTCCCGGTCAGAGGTTCTGCAGTAAAATCAATTGATGTACCTGAGCCACCCTTTCTGTTGAGATAAGCATTAGAAAGAGCAAGAGGTAAAAAGAGAGGAGAAAGAGATAAAAGAAAAGAGGAAAGAAAGAAAAAATAACAAGAAAGAGGGAGGGTTCGTGGGTTGTTAGAGTAAGTGCATTGTAGGTCAGAACGCGACCTACATTCTTTGATAGAATTCTTCCTTTGCGTTGGGTCACCAATGTGTCAATATTTTTTTCCATATTATGAGGATCTCATGCTAATTACCGTAATTATTGTTGCAGCTCGTCCATCGTTATGTCGTGGAGTACCACTACGGAGAAATGCCGTTTGACGGAGCCACGACGTACGGCCCTTCAGCACCTTTGAAGTTCCGCCTTATAGAGCGAGACCTGTGAGAACGCTTCCAGAAGGTGGTTTTGACGTAGAAAAACTTATCGATCGCCCGCAATACCTCACTACTGACTATAATTTTTAATTGCACATATTTTCATTATTTATTGGTTGCAACATTTCTCTACGTTCCTTGTATTTGGTCTTATTTTTATATATTTTGAGATATTTCCATATTCTTCTTTACCAATTGTCCGGAATCGACAGTAAAGGACTACAGTACAATAGTTGTTTTTTGCCACATTTTTGCATTTGGTCTTATTATTTCTATTGGGGGTGCTGTAAAAGTATTATGTAGTATGATGTGGTATTTTGACATAGTTTAGGGGTTGGTAAACATATATTTACAAAAATTACGATTTTTTTTCTCTCCGCTTCCAACAATTTTGTATTTAAAGATCTTCGCTTCAGATACGTACACAGCAGCCTTCACCCCTTTTACAGAACTTTTTATTCTCTCACACAATTTTGATTTGAACTCTGTTGCTAAAGCTATATTGGTACACTCAATGTTTTCGTCGTGGGTTTACGCAATTCAGATACCTAGTAATGAATACACAAGAGCTACCATTGAACCATCTATCCCGTTTTCATTTCGATTGATTTTATGACACTATCAATAAGAATATCATTGTTTGGTACCCTTTAAAAACAACATTAAGTAAAACTTCAATTTCACGCGAACATTCATATTAATCAGTTTTTTCAGTAAAGCAGGCAGAAAACAGGCAAAAGCTGCCAAAATATAAAGCTTATTGTTTATAATAATTAATTTGCATTGGGAATACTTCTGGGTTTAACAACTACGGTTCTCTTTCTTCAGCGAAATGTTTTTAAAGCATTTTAGTGTTTATTCCAGTAAAGTTTCTTCTTTTTGTATATATGTACACTTTTCAATTACTTCTCTGTGTCAATCATACAAATGCATAACAAAGTAGCCAAACCCGATTCCCCCAATTGCACGTGACTATACGTTTCTGTTTTAAATTATCATTGAAGTGTATGAACAGACCCTTGGACCTTATATCAGTATTCATACAGTGGTAACTCAAACAGTAATAATAGTGTAAGAGGAGTTGTAATAATGCAGAAAAGGTGTTACATATTATGAAGGTTCCAATAAATTTGGTGTATTTCCGTGAACTTGTGTTAACACAAATCAGTGATAGGAATTATTGAAATGATGTACCTGCTCATTATAAAAATATACTTTATCTTATTACATTTTCCTTCACTTTTTCTTGTATATATGATTTTTTTTATATTTTGAATAGTAAATATAAATATTATTTCTTTTTTGTTAACCTAGGTGCAACACCTTTGCATGTGTTTCGGGCAAAATTAATGTACCTTACGTGTATCATTGTTCATACATTCATTTAAATGTAGTAGCTATGTGCGCCCTTTCACAAATTCTCGACGCATTATCATACTACGATAGAAAGCTACAATGAGATATTGCGTTGTTTAAATTGCTAAATGACAAACAGTTTATATAGTATTGTAGGATTTCACGGTCGGAGTCAATAGAAGATAGACAAGAGTGTTGACAATGCCAACTGGACCACGGCCTACCAGCCCGGAAAATCTATCTTCTATTGACAAAAAGTTGTCCAATTGGCCTTTACAAATTACACGCACTAAATTTTTTAGCATCTTCACAAGGAAAGCTTTGAAAAATGTGTTAATAAAATTACCATTTGTAAGCAATTATTCATGGCAAGAACATTGATTAGGGGTCAACGTCTTGCAAGCAGCCAACATTTAGAAATCTTCAAATAATAACAATACAGTATAAGAACCTATCAACATCGACAAACAGGTAATAAAATGGAAATTTTTTTCGAAGGCATTATCAAGAAGAAAGAAAGAAAAAATATTTGAATTTTAATATTTACTGTTATTGATGTCTTTATTTACCAGTAAATTAATCCCAACAGTCACTGATACACCCTAGTATGTTAACGTTTCAAGTTTTGTAACAAGTCAAAAAGTTTTGTAAGCCGTCAGGCAATCCAAGATGAATGGAAATTATTATATTCATATAATATTGCTTAAAACATCGTTTATGTAGGTATTACTGCAAAATTGGTATTCAACCGTCTTTAAATATTGAGAAGCTATTTAGTTATTAAAGAAATTATTAAAGTTAAGGAGCATTATGGATCAACCTTCCACTACTCAAGCTTTGATGCCACAATGAGAAAATCACCTTCGGGTATTTTTGTAACTTAATTAAGGAAGTTGACTTATTATGTAATAAAAGCAATTGATAAGTATTCAATTCATAAATTATCATTCTGTCATACGTTAGAAAGAAACATGCTCCTCTGATATTGCATGTGGGTTTGTGAAATTTCGTATTGTAACTTCATCATCCAGGATATAATACAGTAAACCCTCTAAGCATTATAAATCCTTACAGACAAATATGATGTAGAAGGCCTTACGAGTTTAAAGGACGTCAAAGTAATAAATAAAAATATAAATTGGAAATGTCATTTCCACGCTTCATTTGATTTGAAAGTTGATACCCGTAGATGCGTGACCTGTACAATTTGCAACGAAAACATCAACAGATCCATACCCCAATGTTCATTAAAACAATAAATTAAGGTTATTATACCTCGTAATTCTGGTTTATCAAATATGAAATGGACAGACGCCAATTATTCGTTTCAAAACATTAACTTAATTTAGATAGCATTGACGGTTCATTACACAAACTCCAGAGCAGACGTTAATTGTAATTTTTCCTAATGAAATTAACAAGAACTTATTTAATGAAAAACAACACTCGTGTAACACGGCAAAAGAGAAGCAATTTTCAGAGACAGGTGCCATTAGCAAACGTTCAGTCACAACGGTTTTGCTCACAAAAGAGCATTTGTGAGACTGTGTGAGAAGAAACACAAATTCTTAACAGTCTGTGAGACAGAGCTTTGGGACTTTGACATGAGTGCGCAATAGAGAGGTGGGGATTAGAAGAGAAAAGAGGGGTTTGGAGTAGAGGAGAGTCAAAGAAGAGAGCAGAGTAACTGAGCTTGCGCAGGAGACGGGATAAGAGCAGCAATCCAAAAAAAAACACCATGTAAAAACATTCTTAGAGAGATCAAAGTAAATTTCCTTTCGTGATGTTGCCCTTGTATTTTAGTAACATGGTGGATCGTGTGAGGAGAGGTCGAGAAAATATCCTTTGATGTTACAGTGCCAATGTTTCGGCCATTTATTTGACCTTCTTCAGGTCTATAAGAAAAATGATATTACGCAACAAGTACTAGTGGCAGTGTTGATAAAAGAGACAAAAGAAAAAACAATACTTGTGCAGTACTTGTGCTTAAACGCAAATATAGCAATTCACAATTCTGTTGAATCGAACACTGGGTGACACAGACACGTTCCAACAATGCGAGAACAGAGAGGATATTCATTACTCGTAGAAAGGCTGCTTTTATACATAACCAGACTCAGATTAAAGAAATACATAATAACTGTTTTACAAAAACAATTCTTCTTTATTTACCAAATTTCAAACGATTTAACAAAAACAAGCCTTTTGTTCATATTATATGTCAAATTCTCTTGTCCATTCATCCATTGTAGTTACACTTATCTTCAAAATGCGTATTGAAAGTATATTGTCATTGAATATATTAACAATAAGTTAAGTGACAATAAGTAGAATTTTTAATAATACATCACTTCCCTTATACAGGCAGGCCAAAAATGGCTAAAATATTGGCACTATAACGACAAAGGATATTTTATTGACCTACACTCATGACTCATTATTTCATTAATGTAGATTTATTAATGGCTACTTACAATAAACACCCACGATGGCGAGAACCAAATGTTGAAACAAAACCAAGATCTCGACTCAATGAAAATAAAGACACCAGCAAGGGTATGGCGAGTACTAAGACATACCGAAATAGTGTGGTACTTCATACTATTACTACACTTCAGTTAATTGCAATCAGCAAGTACGGCATGCCACACCATTTTTGAATCTCTTAGTTTCTGCACATCACGAAAAATTAGATTGTTTAACAATATTCAACTTCCCGTTAGAAAAACGATGCACTTCAATGAACTATTGCAACGTGCTGTGAAACAGGCATCGCGCTTTAGCATGGAAATACTTCGATGAGGAAGTAAAACAACGCCCGGTGTGCGTGTGTGTACGTGGTTTTTTACAGCGGGGATGGCGATAATTTATCGATTATGGGGTTGTGTTGCGCTTAGGTCATTAATCCCCTAAGTATAATGCATGCGATTCCCCGACGGGTAGTGGTGGTTTTGTCACGCAGAAATGCGAAATCTTGTGTCGACGTCCAAGTCAGCTTGTGAGGTTGCTCCGAGATATTTAGTGGGGAGGAGGGCCCTCCGTCCACCTATCATGCAAACTCGAAGTGTGACATGTTTTAAAAAGCAGCAAGTTCAATCTGCAAGATACTAGTGACATAATTTCCAGAATTGATGCTTTTGTAACTATCAATATGCAACTATTTCAAAGAGTTTCAAGAACTGTTCATTAAATAACCAAGAGGGAGTCTCTTGTGCAAGAAAAGTTTTAAAAGCTAATAAAGGAAATGCTTATTTTCTTACTTTTAATTCGTATAAAACGCGTTTCTATTTCAAAAAAATCAGTTACTTATACCTGAAATATTTTCATTATTCAATACATTATGAAGCAATGGATTCTGTTTCTCATTATACCGAAACAATGAGAAGTTCATGGGGGATATTTGCGACGGATAATTCTATGTCCTATGTGAAATCTCTCAGATCCGTTGCGTAGTGGGTAAAAAGTGAAAATAACACAACGCAATTTGAAGCCAATACTTGATCAATGAAGTGAGTGTATAAAAAAGAACACCGGGACCGGAGCAGCGAACGCCATTTTCGATCAACTGCGACCCGATACTTCGAGGAGGCCGGTTCGGAGCAGCCCAAGAGCAGAAATCGCGAAGCCGAGGCGGCAAGGAAACAGCGCTCGACAGCAAGAAAGCGACGCTAGGGACCCAAGACACACCCTGCGGGCGAGGGGGAGGGGGTTATTTAAGTAGCAGACGTTTAACGAAGGAAACATTTTCCTTCGCTTTGACAAGCGCCCCGAGATTTAACTGGAGTTTCGCGTTCTTTTGTTTGCCGCCGTCGCCGCCACCGCCGCCGCCTCTGTCTCTTGTCTCTGTCTCTGTCTCTGCCGCCGCTCATGGAACGAGGACGGGGATGGGATAGGGGCGGGGCAGAAAGAGGGGATGGGGATGGGGGCGGAGATGAATAGGGAAGCGATGGTGGGGACGACGATGGGACAGGAGACTAGATGCGACAGGACGGAGAAGGGAACGCGGCGGCAACGAGTCGGGAAAGAGACGGAGACCGGACGGGAATGAGACAGGGGACGGGACACGGCGGGACAGAGAAGAGAACGAGCGGGGAAAAGGACGTAGACGAGATGATGCAGAACGGGGACGGAGCAGAGATGGAATGAGGACGGGAAAGGGGAGGTACGTGAACGGAGACGGGACTGGCACGGAATGGTATGAGAACGGGAAACGGGGACGGAATGGGACGAGGCGGATCGGTGGCGGGCCAAGTGCGGGACGGGGACGGTGGTTAAGGCGTGGTCGGAGGCGAGTGAAGGGACTGAGCCGGAAGTGGGGACAGGGATGTAAAAGGAGAGGGCTGGGTGAAGCGGACATGAGGAGGACAGGGACGGAGGCGGTGGCGTGGACGGGAGAGGGAGCCTGCGTGAAAGTGAGGACAGCGAAGGGGGAAAGACGCGGGTGGAAGGGTAGGTGCGAGCAGGGATAAGAACAAAGCCGGGGGTCAGGGAAGGGCCGAGGGCGGTGCCGCTGGCCCAGAAATATCAAAGCCTGCTGCGAACAAAGGCGCGCCAGCCCTGCCGGCGCAGCGCGCGACGCGGGCAATTGTTGAGGCGCCGGGGCTAATGACCAGGGCCTCCTGAAAAGAACGCGTGCTGAAGCACGGAGTGGTGGAGGGTGAGCGGGAGCGATGTGTGGAGGGGTACGCGTTTCGAGTAGACGCAACGGAGGTGCAGTAGAAACACNCAGGATATATGGTAGTTAACTCGTGTTAATGTAATCATTGCAGGGGAGGGAAGTAAATGTATGGGGGGGTGGGAACATGAAAGGACTTGAGTGAATGAAAATCGTTTGGAACCAACGCACCGGCTAACTCAGGAGGGATAACACGTGTTGTGTACAGTTGACCAGATTTTGAA